AAGAGTCACGCCATTTTTAGTTGCCCAGGGATGATTTTAGGGTCAGCCCTTTGCCTTTTTCACAAATTGTACCTAGACTAGGTTAGGACATCAGCAAAATGCTTTGGGCTTGAAGCCAGTCCATTTCTGGCATAGGGACTGGCCTCTGGGGTTGTAATTTCACAAAAATTTCCTATAGAAAATTTCCCTGTAGACAGGAGTTCAGCAGGGGAGCCTGCCTATGCTGCAGGAATACCTAGGTGTGGAAGTGGGCCCCAGGCAGGGAGCAGCCTGCAGTCTCTGATTTAGGGGGCCCTCCCTCCTGACTGCTGTCAGTCTTTGTTAAGATGTACATGGATAGTCTTCCTTCCCACACCCGACCCCGCTGGAGTGTGCCAATCACTGAAGCAAAAAATCTTTGCAAAATAGAGTTTATTCACCAGGCAGCTAAATTGAGGGAGACCCAGACCTTTAACCAACTACCTCCTCAAGCAGGGCAAGGTAGGATATACTTGTAAGCCCAGTACTTGGGAGGTAGAGACAAGGAGGGTCAGGAGTTCAGGGTCATCCTATGCTGCAAAAGAGTCAGCCTGGATTACATGAGACCCTGACTCAAAAAAGAAAAAAAAAAGGTAAATCTGCCACGCTTAAGGACAGAGCTTAGGGGTGTTAATGGGATAAAGATTCAGGCATGGGGAGAGATGGCTGGAGGCAGAGAGAAGTGAAGGATTTGATGGTCTACACATGCAGTTATACATATGATACATATTCAGAAAATGGCTGCTCCAATGAGTTTGGAGGGTAAAGCTTTTCATCTTCCAGTGTCAAGAGGTCATCCATGGGGCAGGTATGCAGACCTGAGTGGACAGGTGGCGGCGATTCCAGCTGATCAGAGGTCAAAGTCAACCTCCAAGGTCTTAAAGCAACCTAAAGAAGACTGTGGCTCCTGCCCTTGAGATTAGGGGGAGCAACAAATGACTAAAAGCCAGTGAGTGAAGCCACAGGGGTCTCCTCTGTTTCCTCTTCACTGTGAAAGACTGGAACCCCACCAGATGGGCACAGCAAGCTCCTTTTGCGTGCTGCTGGGGACTCAGGGTTGCTAGGAAGTTGTCAGGCTTCCATCAGACCCCTGCAGGGCAGGTACGAGTCCTACGTGATATCCTAGGAGGCCTCTCCCGAAGTGGTGGAGCAGGAGACTGAGCTGAATCAGTGCTTGCGGAATGCTGTGGTGGCGTCACTGGGGACAGACAGGCTGTGGGCTTGGCTCCAGGGACCTCAGCTCACTGGACACGTAGCCTTGGAATGAAGCCTCTTGCAACTTTTGTAAAATCTCTGTATAGAGCTGATCAGTGGGCAAAGCACTTGCTAGATAGCCTGAGGACCTGAGTTCACATCCCCAGAAGCCATGGGAAGCTGGGCATAGATAGCATTGCTTCTGTGGTTCTAGGAATCTTAAAGCAAGATGGGAGGCAGAGGCAGGAGACTCCCTGGAAACTGGCTGGCCAGCTGTCCTGGAGTGCACAGTGCTGAGGACACAAAAAGGAAGGAAAGGGGGTGGGGGAGATAGGTATGGCAGTACACAGCTTTGGGGAAGCAGAGGCAAGTGGATCTCTGCAAATTGCAGCACAGCCTGGCCGATGTAGCAAGTTCCAGGCCAACCAAACTACATAGTGAGGCTGCCTCAAGAGAGAGCAACTTTGTCTCAAGCAAGGTAGCCAGTAAAAGCCAATACCCAAGGTTGTCCTCTGACCTCCAGACACGGGTACACAAACACATATGTCATACATACATACAGACAAAGCTTTTTAAACTTGTATCACGCTTGCTTGTTTGGATACTACATACATACATACATACATACATACATACATACATACATACATACAAAGCTTTTTAAACTTGTATCACATTTGTTTGTTTGGATACATCATACAAACAAAGCTTTTTAAACTTTGTATCACGTTTGTTTGTTTGGGGTGGGCTGTGCATGTTCCACAGCTCGTGTAGAGATCTGAGGACATTTATAGGAGTTGATTCTCTCCTTCTACCATGTGGGTGTCAGGGATTGAACTCAAGTTGTCAGGTCTGATGACAAGTGCCTTTAGCCACTGAGCCATCTTGCTGGTCCAAAATTAAAAATATATATATAGCTTTTCAAATTTTGATAGTAAGAATAATTTTGCTCCTTTGACCTTTCTCCTGAGCGCACATAGGATTGTAGAAGTCATGGCTTGAAGGTCAGGAAATTCCACACAGAAAGGAGCTGTGTGTAGCTGCTTACAGCAGAAGGTGTTTGTGGCTTTGAAATCACGGCTCATTTTCTGGGCGCATGACATTCTTCAGTGGTGCTTTGAGAAAGCCTCTTTGACACCAGCCACTTTGAGGTGGTGGTTTTGATGTAGGATCATTGTGGTGGGATGGTTCAACCTTATGCATTAAAATTAAAAACTGACTCACTGGTGTAGAAAACTGCCAACCTGTTCCATCTCTGAATGGGGCCAGAGGAAGTGGTGAGGGCCAGCGAGGCAGTATGGGTTGGGAGGGATAAGGCCAAGGGTGGGGGCTAGGCACCATCTGCCAGACAAGACGTCATGTGATTGCCACAACTGTCTGTGGTAGAAAGGACCCTGATCATCTCAAGCGAAGTGTCTGCTCATATACTAAGAATTGGCTTGAATCTTGGCAGGATGACATCTTAAATTATCTCTTTCTTAAAGTTAAAAGACCTTATGTGTGTGCTGAGACGGGGGAGGGCGGGGGAAGGGAGAGACAGATATTTAAACCACAACATGGCCCTTTATTCTCTGCTCGAGGCTGCACAGGAAATCCCTAATTAGACGTGTGACAGTGTCTCGGAATCTCTAATGATACACATACATTACAGTTCACATTACAAAAGTCCCTTTGAGTGACGGCTTGGGGGAAAGGGCTAGGACCCCCTTTACAGATGAGCCTACTTATTACTGATTTTTTAATAACTTGCGCACATTTTCCCCAGCTACAGAAGTAACAAAAGAAGCTGTGATAGATAGAACACTCTATGGCAAAGACATGACCAAACCAAGTTATTTTACTATTTGTATGGTAGTTATCAGACTCTTTATGAAAGCCCACAGAGCCTGAATCTTCTGGGTTTCTACCATTATCTCATTTATTGCACCATTTTGTCCTCAGGACAGACAGCCTTGTGATGCCACCAGAGTCGCACCTTGGGTCAACTGGCCAGAAAGTGAGTCAGGTTCACATGGCTGGCTATCAGGTGACAGCACATGTGGCCCCATTGCCAAGGCCAGCCACTCATGACCCAGATTCCAGTAGACCCCTGACTTTCTCTTTGGGTTTTGATGTCTCAGACAGCACATTTGGTTGGGAACCCATGGGGCATCTTCCAGTTAGAGAATATGATATCTGTAGCTTCTTTATTGTCTTTATTGCTCAAAGCATATGCTGTATTATTAGAACACCAAGAGGAGTGTGGCTTTATAATGCAAACAAGAAATGTCTGCTCTTCCTCTCCTCCCCACCTAAGTCTGTCCAAAAGGGTCATAGCTGGGAATGTCAGTTGTGTGGGAAGCTCTTGTGTCTAGGCCTGTTATGTACTGCATGTATGTAGAGAAGGTACCCCTTACCTGTTATGTACTGCATGTATGTAGAGAAGGTGCCCCTTACCTGTTATGTACTGCATGTATGTAGAGAAGGTGCCCCTTACCTGTTAT